AAAGAGGTGCTTTATTGGGCAATGAGGCCAGGAAGCTTAACAGTCCTACCTATCCTTAGGTAAAGTTGCCCTCGAGAGACTGTAGGGCAACAAACTGGGCCACACTGGCATGTTGGAAATCTGCTTGGTTTCTGACCATCAGGGTTTGCTTTGGCTCTATGGATTTTTGTTAGCAAAATAAAACTTGTTAGAGAAATAAAATATATAAACATACAGCTCACCACATACACTTTTGAATCTCTCTGTATTTTTCTTCCCATGTTTCCTAAACTGTCAGCACAGGCATTTGCTAAATTGTGAAGAAGTAGGGTTGCCGTGTTTTCAATAGTGGAGTGACTATTTTATCATTGTGTTTACAGGTAGTAGCCTGAAAAAAGAAAAGCAAAATGCTGGTGGTGCAAAGGCTCACAGTCTTCGTTAACCATATATTAGCCCGTAAAACTTTAAAGATGACAGGCAGTTTATTGAGCAGCTATTGAACTGGAGAGTGGCAAAGTTGAAAACTATGTTCTTTTTATAGACTGGACAGCATACATAGATCTGCACTTCTAATGTTCTATGGTGGATGCTATACATCATCTTGGAAAAGAAGCTTCTACTGGTTACCAGAAGATCTTGTATTCTTGGTGCAGATATGAATCTCTATTTTCCATTGCTTCCGAGAGCTGCATGTTCATTTGGAGAAGCAGTGATTCCTATGAAAGATTTTCCAAGTGAAAAAATATGTATATATTTTGTATGTAATACAGAACATCATTTGTTTCAGGTACTGAGCAGTACAGTGAGTATACAGGCTATGCAGAAACTTACCGGTGGGCAAGAAGCCATGAAGATAAGACGCCAAGGTAAAGTTCCACGTAAATATTTCAAGTGAAAGAATAAATGAATGCTATAAGTTTGCAAACTTGGTGCTTTAAGTATTTCCTAGCATTTGCCTTAATAGAGAATTTGACTGTTATCCTGCTCTCTTCAGTAGAGCCAACAAGCTAAGAAAGTTATCTCATAATGAGATATTAATGCTAATAAATGGTACCTGCCAATATGTCAGTTCTTAAACCAACTTCTTTTACAGTTATATGTATTTAATCCAATTTCTTGTTAAGCTGACTGAACTGTGGATTGTAATGTCACAAGAAGTTTGACAATGATACCTCAGGTGTCACAGTGCAGCTGACATGTGGCAAAATAAGATTTAATACCATGAACCTGAGCAGAAAGCTCTGAGCTCTTGAATTTATTTCTCCAACAATGTTATCATAGTGTATGCGCAAAATTATTCATTTGGTATAGAAACATACACAATGTACTCTCATTGAAATGTTGGAGGAAGACAGAGAGCCGAAGTGCTTTTCTTTGACCTTGCGGTGTTCTTACGTACTTAATAAATAGTGCTGTGTAATTAGATTTGTTTCACGTTTATGCCCAAAGTCTAGCCAGAGTATTTCTAAATTTATAGGAAGACCTGTCTGATTTCTGATGCTGCTTTCATTTCTGACCTGCAAAGGAAAAAAAAAACCAAACTTCTCCATTGTCTGTTATGAGCTCACATTTCTTGCCTCTTCTAACAGAGTAGCTCTGCAGGGAATTGCTCATTTTGGATCATAATTATATAGCCAATATTAAACAACTAATGTAATCTACTTTTCTCCTCCCTCCAATTTTAGGGATGAATGGCAGCGACGCTACACTGAAATTGTTGCTATAGATGCATTTCACTTCAGACGTTTCCTTGATCAGTTTGGTCCAGAGAAAATTAGAAGAGAGCTCAACAAGGCCAGTAACCTCTTACAACGGCCTGCAGTCTAAGGCTGTTTCATTAATGTTTATAGTACCTTTTCAAATATTTTTGTATTGTTATCTTCAGCTAAGTAAGTTTGTAAGTTAGTTGTATCTCTTATAAAAGGTGTACTTTTCAGGGTTTTGCTGTCCAATGTTAAAGCAGAAGCTTGTCAAATAGAATGACTCTTATCTTTTGATATACTATTCAAAGGTGTATTTTATTTAACTTTCAAGAATATAAATGACATTTGGATATACATTTTGTTAACTCTTCACTGTCCTGCTTCTAAATTATGATATTAAGTTCTCTTCCCATGATTGCCTCTGCTGAATCCTACTCAGCCCTCCAGTCAAGGTGGAGAAGGGGGTGCCTCATGTTTTAACATGGTGATAGTTCATAAAAACGGTGTCACTTGCTTTTCTTCTACCTTTCTTGTTTGCTCTTGGAGTATTGACATATTACCTGAGAGTTTATTTTTTCATATATTGATGTCTTTTTGAGATCAAGTCCAGCTGTTCATAAATCTCCTATCTTTATTTGCACAATAGTTGTAAGGGCCGTTGCAACTGAATATGTGTGTATACATGCCAGTTAGAGCTTGCAGTGATGGGGGGTGTTCGTAAGACTGATAAATCAGGCCAAGCAAGACTTTTAGACTGATATTCAGAAACAGCACACTTCCTACTCATAATTCTTGCACATCATTAATCATTATCACTATGTATTCAAAGCAGTCAGTCCTTGACCTTACCCTGCATTAGCTGTGTGTATACAAAACTGCGTAGTTAGCGCCAATGGCTATGGTCCTTGATAGTCTTGGTCATCAAGGTTGCCAGGCTGAAGAGCTCTTTGACAAGGGAAGCTGGAACTGCAGTGGGCATCTTTTTTCTATCCCTTGCCCTTCCTAATTGGGGATCATGTCCTTAAATAAAATACTTGAGTTTCTAGATGGTTCCCAGCCTTTGGTCTCTGCCCTGGACTACATGCTGCATAATGGTTGGGAACATGCAGTTGCTTTCCTAAGCCACAGCAGGTGCTTTATCATGTTGCATGGCTGAGATTTTCACGTGGTTTGTTTTTCTTCTTGCTTTGCTGCTGCTTCTTTTCTTGAAGCTAAAGCAGTCTTTTCCCTGCTCTTGAAGTTGTACTTTTTCAATGACTAGTAATTGCTATCAGTGAGCTGTTTATAGTTCTGAGGGCCTTAGCTTTCAACCTGTGCCAATGTTTTCAAGGCCTTTGCTGTTATCCCATGCATAAATTTTATGGCCTAACAAGAGATGCCTGGTATCAATTTCCAGTTTACATAGCAAATTCTCCTAAGTTAATAAAAAGGCTAATGGGCCAGAATGAGGGCCTTGCATGGCTAGTATAAGGCATAGGTAGTGAAAGGTCTGTGGCCTGTTATAGTAATGGCAATGCTATTTTTGCTGGGCAGTTGAGTACAAGAATGCTTATACAGTTATACTATATTAGTGTGCTTATATTTGGGTTCAAAACATGCTAATGATAAAATCTGCTTAGTGTGCTTCTATGTTTATAGATACAGTAGGCCTCTGCTTTAGCTAGGGTGTTAAATATAAGGGCACAAAAGTCTCCTGCTTCCTGTAGTGTAGGAGGGTATAGAATAATACAGAAGGCATTTTAAATAAATTCAAGCACAGGGCAGCATGCTCCTAATTCTCAGCTGGAAAGAGAAAGGAAATATACCTGAGAGCTAATCTTTTTTTCTTTTTTTTTTTTTTTTCCCCCCCTCTCCCAAAAATGATGTACAGTGCTGAAGGACTAATTTAATTTAGTTATAAAACCTTAGCATCTTGACTAAAGTAACATTCATCAGCTTGTTTCTTCATGGTTGGTAATGAAATTAGCCCTGAAAAAGACAGTAAATTAAATTTTGTAAACTTCAGTGATATCTTAGTACAAAATTCAAATTACCTACTCTAGTGAATTTATGATCTGCCTACAATTTTCAATATTATTGATTGCATTTGGATTTTTAAAATAAATTATGGTAGATCCATGCAACTTTTATACAGTGTGTCTGGCTGATGTTGTTTGAGGACTGCCTGGTATTTAAAGAAAATTTTAAGCCTGAGTTAATTCTCTATTTACTACAGTAAAAATTTCATTAAGTTTACTGGAGGTTCTATAATATTTTAATAAATCAAATATTTTTGAATATACTGTGGTGAGTTTTTTTCAGTTTGGTTTAAAATTAACAATAACCTTTTGATTTTCCTATGGGTGAAAACAAGTTGATGGAATAAGCTGCGACTCCATTTCTATAATGATTTAATAAATCAGGACTCAGTAAGCACAGTATATGCACACAGGCTTTGAAATACAAGTGTATTATGTATTAGTAGACACGGCTCAGCGTCCATTTGTTTCCAGAGGTTCTTTTGTTTGTCTGTTATATTGTTAGACATTAGGAAATGATTGACACAACTTAAAGTGATTCTTCTTATAACTTGTATTTCCTTATAAGCCTATATGATTTCTCCTTTGTAAGATCCATTTGTCTTGAAGAACCAGATGTTCACTCTCCGTTAGTTTTCTCAAAAGGTAGCAGTCCGAGGCTGACCCTTGTTTCTGGTTTAACCTATACTCAGAAAACAAGATTGATACTGTCTAAAGACAGCTGTTCAGAATAAGAAAAAAAAAACCATCTGATCTGATTTCAGCATTAAGATTTGCAGATATATGTGTAAGAGATGTCACTGTTTCATCTTAGCTAGTCCCTTGAGATTATTGCCTAATATAGACTCTCACTAGCAATAATTTTTCCAGTTGCAAGTTCCACTTTGCAAATCCTAAGGAACAACTGACTTCTAATTGGGCTTGCAATCCCACTCATAAATGTCATTAGGCCTATTTTGATAGTCACCGATTACAAAAAGCTACAGCTTCATCTTTGGCAAGAAATGCTTCCCTCGGAATTACGGTATGCAGAACAGTTATGTTTCAAATGTGAAAATCGTGAGAACTATATATAACTGTTTTATATGAAAACAAACCAATTATAAACATCACACAACTTCTAAATGATATGAGATACCATATATTCGAAGTTGTGTACAGTTTAAAAACAGCTTCATTTATGTAGTTAAAAAGGAACAGCTCTTCTTCCCATATGGAAGCAACTGCTTTAAAACTGCACGGAAAGCTTTCGTGTTCCTGTATTCCTAGGTGAAACCTATTTAAAATATTGGTGTGTTGTCTCTTTTTTAAAAAAGTGATTAGTTTTATCTTTATCCTTTGCTATGAAAAATCATAGGGGAGCACTTACTTAGATATTTCTCTTCATGGCTGCTGAAGACCTTCCACATATTTGCTGACTTTCTAATTGTGACTTTCTAATTGTTTTTGTTCTCCATGTCCTGGCAAGTTAAGAAATACATGCCCGTTAAATAAAAGCTGAAAAGAAAATGGCATGCTTTCGCAACACCAATCCATTTCCCCCACTGGGAGGATGGAATTTGAAGAATTATTGTCCACACAACCAGAGTACTACCTTGCTTAGCCCACTAGTTTCGTACAAATGTGCTTTGGACATTAAGCACGCTAATAGCTCTGACTTGAGAGAGCTTAAGAAGCTGCACGCACCTGATGATGCGTAAGTGCTCCTTATGCAAACTCTGTATCATGGTACCCTGCTAAATTATAACTAACAGAAGTCTGAATTTGCAGCTTAGATCAGATTGGAATGAAACCGTGGGTACTTCAGTCTGTACCAGGCAATTGTACCAATTCAATAAGCTTTTGTACTGTTGAAAAATTTCCCAAATAGATTTATCCTTTTTTCTATACATGGAAGCACCTGCTCAAGATTTCTTAGTGAATATCACACTTTTTCCTCCTACTCTCATTTATTGCATTGGACCTGTATTCTAAGATGCCATTTTGTGTTTTATTTTCAGTTTTGAGGAATTTCAGTAATACTGGACACAGCAGGTCGGCTGTCATGTATGCTAAATGGGCTGAAAAGCAACAAACATGATACAATCTATTATTATTCTCAGCTCTGGCTATCCTGAAAAGTTTCCTACAGCTGTGATGAAATCCCTAGGAGTCAGCACCTGTACCTAATTTTTAACTTGGATCCAAATAAGGCAAAATTCTTCTTGCCTTAAATTCTTTGGTGATTGATCTTAAATTTAAAGGAAAACTAATGGTGTATTGAAGTAGTTTGAATTTGGTATTGCTAGAAGACAATACTGATTATTGTTATCATCTTATTGTTTGAAAATCTGGCATCAGATTGCCTGTCAACTTCATCTTCTGACTTTTGTCTGCCTGCAGGCCTACTGTGGCTTCTCTCGACCCAACGTTCCACCTCAACATCTTTCTGCAATAGCCACAGGAAACTGGGGATGTGGTGCCTTTGGAGGGGACTCCCGATTAAAAGGTAAATTGTAGCAATTCATTAATGTCCAAATGAATCAAATAAATAACTTAGATTTTGATTCTTGGCCTTTTTTTTTTTTTTTGTTCAAGTACATTTTTTGGTTTTGTTTGAATTAATACATTTTAGCCAAGAATCAGAATAATAGTTAATCTGTCCATAGAACTGGTTCATTAGCTTTGATCTTTAGGCCATGAGTAATGTGTCCTTAAACAATAAAAATGCACGCTGTTTTTATATGCTATTTTCTGTTTAAAGTTTGAGGCAAGTACGTGATGGTGGAATGCCGGATTTACAAGGACTTGTAGCACTGAAACCTTCAAAAGCACAGACATGCAATATTAGCTCACAAAAGAACATGTTCACTGCAGTTCTCAGTCGTGTAAATCAGTTGACCTTTCTGGAGCAGTCTTTTCAGATTATGCCTAAAATTTGTATCTCTGCAAAGCTGTTTAAAATACCTGGTAATTTGCAAGGTTTCATAAACTTGCTGGCAATGCTTCATGTTTAGCTTTGCTCCTTAATATATTGCTGTATGCCAGAGAGGTTTCCAGTCACTCAGACATGCTTCTTTCTTTCCTGACTTGCCTGCTATATCACTCACTCTCTCATGTTTTTATTTTTAATTGGAGTATTTATAATGCAGCAGATATCACATGCCTACATTCATGTAAGACTTTTTCTCATCGAGTCAAGAACTGATGCATCCTGACATTTATATTGATATCCTGATTCATATAGTTCTAAGTAGAAATTTACATTTTTGTTGTTTTCAAACATTTGGAGAGTATTTAAAATTTGCTTTTCTGAACAGCTTTAGGTAGTGACATTGAGACAAACAATCATCAGGCTACCAGCTTCATTAATTTTCTTTCTTAACATGTTTTATTCATTGAGCATCTATTTTTTTTCTCAATGCTCATTGATTTCCTGACAGTTGTTTTTTGATTTCCATTAGATAAATGGGCTGCCAAGTGCAGATCATCAATATCAGAAGCGGTATTTACTGCAGGATCTGATCATACTTGATTATGACTATGTTAGGAAGCTTTAATAAATGCTTTGATGTGCATAAGGCCTCCTCTTGGATCTGAACTGTAATATCCCATGTATATTTCTTTTAATGTATGGGTTTCTGATAAAAATATGGCTCATCTGATCTAAGCCATTATTTGTTCAACACTGGGTGTGACTTTTAGAATAGGGATTGCTCACTGCAATGCTTTACTTCCTCTCCCCATCGGCCAGAGCTCAAAACTGAAACATACTGACAAAGACCACCAGAGCCGAGTCCATGTGGTGAGGCAGCCCATAAGAAAAGCCTTTGATGTAGACAAAGAAATGAGCCATGAGGTGTGTTTCATAGCTTGGGTATGAACTCCAGGCAGAACAAGAGCATGTAAAGACTTGAACATTCTCTCAGTTTTATTTTAACCTAATATTTTAGTTTGAGCTTTCATTTATGTAACTTTTCCTCTTGTTTTGGATCAACCTTATTTTTTTCCAAAGTCTGCGAGAATTAACACTTAACAGCAATTTACAGCACTGCTGCTGTTACAAAAAAATTCATCTAAATCTACGGATGTGCTCTCAAGTCTTCGCCTGTTCTTTTGGCAGACCTTACAAAGACAGACATTGGTTTAACTTGCACTTAAGTTACTCTTTTTGTAAACTCAGCTTAATTTCTTAGTTGACTCTGAAAAATCAATACTTAATAAAGAGAATTAAATGACAATAATGTGCTATGGGATATGGAGCTAGTCTTTTAGTACGTGACATTTTTGTCTGAGCTGATGCTGACTAGAAACAAGATGGCTTCATTCTTTTTTTTGTAAAGTATGAGCTACGAAAAGAGTACAGTAGTTTGTCATGTGTGTTTTTGTCAGAATAGAGTTGCATATGATGTGTGATAACCAAATGAAGCCTTTTCTAGTTCACAGATACTCCCTGCACAGTCATAAGTGCTAAAGCTTTTTCTCCCTTTTGTTCTAAAATGCTGTATAGGGTTATTCTGAAATGCAAATTCTCTCAATAGTTTCACTTCATTATAAGCAAATCTCTTACACTGGAGAATAATCTTCATAGGGGGTCATAAATTCTTCATTTCAGAATATGTTTTATAAAACTCTGAGATGATCAGTATCACTGTTTCACTGAACCCAAATAAATAGCTTTCATTGACTACACAGGCTTTACAGTGTATTGCAATGACAAAATAGTTTTCGTAGTTTAAAATCTCGCTTTTCCATTTAACATTCTTAAATATAAACCCTTGTCCTTTCAGAAGTAGTATCTGGATCTGTAACAGACACTTCAGAATCACCAAAGCATTTGATGCAATTGGATATAACTGGATAAGCGCCATAATTATGCGTTATTATATTTTATCATGGTTTTTTTTAGTCATGAATTAAGGGAACATGATTGTGTATAAAACATGGTTTTACCCAAGGTCACAGATGATGCGAAAACTAAAGTCGTCTTAAGGGAGGAAAAAAATAATCTGGCTTTATAAATTAAAGACCTGGTACATAAACAGGACAGATTCTAGCTAAGTTAGGGATATTTCCACAAAATTTTAGTATAAACTTAAGACTTTCAACACTGAAAAAATATGTTTATATAATTGGGAGAAGTTGGAAGATTTTTGTCTTGCCTTTCAAACCAGAGGATAATTTAACAATTACTAGCTGCAAGGGCTCTGTGCAACTGTCTAAAGATTGGAGAAGTGTTGTTTTATTGAAAATGCAAAGGAGATGATCTGGTGAGGCATCTCATAAATACATACATCTAACTTCTAATGATTGTGAGAACGTGCTCTCTAGCTGAACTGGTGTTCTTATTTATCTGAGAAAATAAAGTTCAAGAGGAAGACTGCCATCAGCTTTAAAAAGACCCTTGTAGGATTAGTGGAAGGAGAGAAAAGCATGCGTCTTGCCTCACGTAAATGGCGTGTGATATTGAGGTGCTACCGCGATAGTACTGCAGTTCTGAACTGACGCCGTAGGCAACGACGCAAGGCGCGTTGGGTGTTTAACCCAGTGTGGCGCTGCTGTGCCTGCAGTAGTGGAGCTCCGCTCTGCTTGCCCCCGCTGTGTCTCTGGTGCCACTTTCCTCGCACTGAGCTCTGGACTTTGGCTACGCTGCCGCAATGGTACCGCAGTAGGGGAGTCCCTGGTGATAACATCCTTTCCTCTGGGTAAAAGAGACTGAACATGTAGGGCCTGTGGGAATAGTTGTGTCCCCAGAGGGATTTGTATTATGCTTCTACCACCTTTGCTGGGTGGTAGAAGAACGTATGTCAGCACAGCCAGTCCTTCAGGTGCGAGTCCAGAAGAGTTAAATGGATCACGTCAGCTGGGTGCAGGGGGCAAGAGACCCCAAATCCCTCCAGTCCCCTGTACCACAGGCTCTATTGCTCTTCCTGTGATGCTCCTTTCTGTATCAGTAGCACGGAAATTTCACGTGGTATTGTATATCATCAATGCCCAGAAGATTGTGAAGCCTGATTCTTGACAGAAATTTTGACCCTCATTTCATAAGATTTATAGCAATTCAAAATAAACAGTAGGATATTTTTAGTATCTTCTGTAAAGTGAAATGGCATTGGTTGTTTGGAATGAATAATAAGATTCATTAGGTTCTGTTCCCCTATGCAAGCTAGTTAATTAGACCCTTTAAAAGCTGAACTACTGAAGCTTTACCAAATCCACAGCTGGTTCAGTAGTTTAATTAAAATATCATTCCCAGATTGAGATTAATTTCACATGAGAATCATGTAATTTATAATTTTAGCTGTGGGTTTACAAGATGTTTTTTTTGATTAAAGAATGCAGTATTTTATTAGGTCTCTGTTTAAAAATGTGAAAGATTCTTGAGCTGAGCTACGAACAGCTTTGTATTTAGTTTCCGCTAGCAGGTGGTAATGCACTATGTATGCTATTTTATTTAAAATTAATCTTTACAAAGACAATATTAATCACTTTTTAATTAACTCTACTTACTGGGTAGAAAAGGAAAGAATTAATATCAGAACTGCACCCATAGGCTCTGAAATAAGACAAGCCGCAACAGATGTAATAGTTGCTGGGCTCCATTATTTGGACTGTTGTAACATTACCTGAAATGAATGTGTGATTGATTGCATGCATCTGTGACACTCCAGCCTCACAGTACTGGTTGGTGAAAAAGCTGCGCTCTTGTAATAGTTTGGTGCTACCTAAAAGGGTCCTGGTTTTTCTTGTCCCCTTCCCTGTTCTTGGCTGTATGTTCTGGTGCCCTCCTTTGCGTCAGCTCCGGCTCTTAGCAAACCCTTCACTCAGCCAATTCAACTGCTGATCTAGCAGAAAACAATTAGCTTTTATTCTTTTGTCATGTAACTTTTCTGCCAGGTTGGTGAATGGAATTGGCTCAGAGAGATGTCTGATGAGCACCTCAGAGCTGCAGGAAAGTCAGGAGGTGGGTGAGAAGGGAGAAAAGGTAGCTGGACCAGAGCCACTTTCTCCAATTGCAGTGGGTCATTAGCTTGGCTTAGCTGGACCAGTGATCAATACCCCGGATGATTTCTCAAGATGAATCTTCAAAAATCTGTTTCCAAGATAGGAAGCATTCTTCTTTCTTTTCCATATAGGAAAACAAAGTCTGTCTATTTTGTAATGTTAGCCATTGACAGAACTTGGGATGCAGCTTGGTCCAGCGAGTTTGACATAAAGCTGGAAGTTAAATAACCTGAATTGCATTCCTGGCATCGCCACTCACTTTTTATAGGTCATATTCCATGCTGCATACTTCTATTACAGGCAAGATGGACACCTCAGATTGTGCAGTAAGAGGCTGCAGAACCATACATCTCCTCTTGGGAGCCAAAAGTTGGGTCAGCTCCTGCTTTGTGTAGCTTACCTAGTGAGAGGGTTGGCTCCATTCCTTCTGAAGGGTGGCAGAGAATGGAAATTGTGATGCGCTAATGGATGCGTTTTACTGCACTATTTGTGACTTGATGCACGCAGGTTGAACCAGGATGTCAGATGCTGCTCCGTCTTCTTATGCTGTCGCGCACGTTTATTGGATAACTTAATGGCTGCATGCTGCTTGGGGGTGGACATGGACCACAAAAAACCCTTTGATTTTTAAGCACATTGTTCATCTGGAAAGTAAGGGTGGTTGTCACTAGTGACTCCAGCAGAACACTTCAATGCTCTGAGCTGCAGTGCCCAGTATTCTTTACTTTGTTTTAAAACTGGAAGTAATACCTATCTAGCCATTTTTGAAATTGCTTTGCAGTATTCACCTGGAGATGGATGGTAGGATTAATTGCTGTAAACTTAGGCTGTGTTTTTCCCTTCAGCAAATTGTTTTATCCTGTATTCATGTGTGCAATCTTCTTTGTTGTTTCAGCCTTAATACAGATATTGGCAGCTGCTGAGGCTGGACGTGATGTTGTTTATTTTACCTTTGGAGATATGGAGCTGATGCGGGATATTTACAGCATGCACACTTTTCTCTGTGAGAAGGGCCAAACTATTGGTGAGCATATAGAAATCTTTTCATGCAGCAAAGAGACTTAATCGTCTCTGTACATGGAAATTGTCCAATAAGAATTATTGTCATCAATTCCTGAACACAAGCAAATGGGTCTCTGTTTATTTGTACCTGTTTCCAGAGTGGGGAACTCTTCTGATTCAGGGTCAACTGTGCAATGTTAATCTGTTAAAGACTTCTAGAATCCTTTTAATTCACTTGAGAGTTATGCTCCAGAATTTGGAAAATACAGATACGTGTGGTAGACAGAAGGTTTGCAAAAGTTTTTAATAGAACTCAAAATGCTTTAAAAAGGTAAAATCTGCTTACGCATTCTTGATATAGATTTGTCTTAAATGGTTCTGTCTTGTTCCGGCAAGATGTGGTCTGATGAGTTACCCAGTAGCAATACGAGAAACGCAGTGTATCCGTTGCCCCACTGTAATTGTTACATGTCTTTAATTTCTGGGACAGAAGCATAAAGCTAGGTAATTGGCAATACGTTTGTAAGTAATGCGTATGCGAGCCTAACATTCGGACTGCTTGTGCAGAAAGCTCAGCAGAAAGTTGAGGGGGCTCACTGTATGTTCTGAACAAACTTGGAAACAGTCACGTTCCCCTTGTACAGTTGTCTACCTCCTCTTTTGCTGCTCATTTAAAGAGACGTTCCTAGCCACTATCTCAGTGTGAGTGTGCATTTCTAGTCTTCATTTGCAATCATGCATTCTTCATATGGCACGATCTTACACAGTTTTTAATTATTTCTTTTTTATTATATTTATTTATTTTATTTATTTTTATTTTATTTATTTTTATTTATTTATTTTATTATATTTATTGTATTTTAATTATTTCTTTTTAAGGGGACATTTATAGGCTATTACTGAGATATTACAATGAAGAATGCAGAAGCTGTTCTACTTCAGGACCAGATGTCAAGCTGTACTCTTTCATATACAACACCGTTGAGTCCTATGCAGATTCTACTGATGATGATGAAGAAAAAGGGTTGTGCTTTGAGGATTAAAATAAATGTATTTGATCAGAATATTGTTCATCTCCTCCCACTGGTATATTGTGTGAATTGCTGGGTATAATGTATGAATTGGCTTAACTTAGTATATATTGACTGCATTGGTAGTTATGTATAACACCCAAACAAAAAAAACCCACCTTTGAGAGACAAGATTTTTTTGTTTGATGGTTTTGTACATGAAAACCTTCTTCATGTGTGTATGGAAAAGATTTCTTTGGTAAATCTGGTTTGCATTATACCTTGTTAAGCAGGATATTTTGGTACACACTTGTATTTCAGTCAAGAGATTGCTGAAAGACTTCAGAAGATTTCTCTGTACTCTTTTGCCTTTATTTTTCAGAGATGTTATCTAGATTTCTCATGTGAGCTTAGTGCTGGAGTACAGGCAGGCATGTAACTCCTGGGATGATCTTAGAGAGAACCGTTGTAATGATCGTTCTTACTGAAAATTGTCATAATTTGATTACGTCCTTAAGACTGCCACGGTACCTTCGTTGTTCTTATCAACTTTTTCATTCATTTAACTTAAAATGTCCTGGGTTTAATCTATTTTTTTAATAAATGGTTAAAAATTGAAAGAATCTGGAGGAGCTATGATGCATTTCACAACTGCATTGTCTGTATCGAATCAGACATAAAAGTTAGCATGAAGAAGTAGAGAAAAAATGAAGTATGGGAGAGCGGGAAAATGAAAAGTGTGACCAAAGTTAGAAGCCAAGGGAAACGTTTTCACATGAAACTCAATACGGTTTTGTTGGTGCTATCTGTTACAACACTGAACAAGGTCTTAGCCATGTTAGCATATTTGAAGTTTCTCAAGGTTCACAGTTGTTGGCGATATCATTTGAATTAAGGTCTGCTAGCTGTGTTTATATTGTCATATCACTTCTCCGTTATCGTAGTGTGCGCGTATGTGAGTATAAGATCCCCGTGGGATAACGTGAGCGAGGAAATGGAAATCACTTACGTTATCAGTGGGAGGAAAGTCTGCAGGCTACAGATAAGGACATGAGGTCTTGTTAGGAGTTTGCGCCTGTGTCTTTTTAGGCATGGGAACGATAACAATGAAGAGAGGGGAAAAGATGTGTAAAAACTGTGCTGTTACTATCTCTGTGAATACCAAATTAGCGTTGCTGTAGTACATTAAGAGTTTACACAAAACTGCAGATGCATCTGTGATAAAACTTTTCCGGATCTATGTACAGGGCCAATCCAATGAAACGTTTGTCCATTAGTAGTTTAAACCCAGTTTAAGTTTAAGCCGAAATTGCTTAGTTTTGCCTCCTATGTGTTAGATTTTTTCTGGTCTGTCGTGGTTGCTACTGCCAGTTCAGCAATACAAGTAAAAACCGCAGCAGGAAATGTAGTGAGCTAAGGCTCTAGTATCAAAAAATCCTTTTGGCTAATGTCAGATAAAGCCTCTCCAAGCCTGAAACACAACATGGTAATTAAATGCTGGAAGCTATTGGCAGTCTGGCTTACAATAAAGCACTCGCTGCTCGAGCTGCTCTGGTGGAAGCAATAGCAAGCAGTTTGGGTCATTTATAAACACCTTCAGAATGCTGCACCTTTGCATTAATGCTAAATGGGCAGCTTGGAAGGTGACAGACACAGCAGTGTAAGCATTTCTTCCTTTTCTTCCCACCAGCTGTAGTTTTTTCCACCCCCATCCATTATAAGGAGAAGATTTGGGCTAGAATTTCAGGCCTTTTTCTGTGTTTGCAGCTCGTGTCCTCAGAGTTAGCGGCAATCTTTTCTCCTGCTCCTGGTGTTTCAGTGTTGGCTCAGATCCTGGCAATAGGAGTAGCAGTGTTCTATAGTAAGCTCTTATTTGGGTATTTAGGTTCAACTATGCTAGTGCTTCTAGATGCATTGCCGATGATAAATGTACCCTGTTAATTAAGACAAGTGATGGAAAATTGGTGCTATCTGCCAAACCTTCACCTTACTACTCAGGATTTCCCATTGAACAGGTGAAGAGAATTTGCCCCTGAACAACTGGAAGAAAATATAGCAAAAAGCTTTATGTGGCGAGATATCACCTCCCCTTTGTTGTAAATAAATACATCTTTATTAGTGTAATATTAATTTTCATTGTGAGGGGAAGTGATTTGTCAGGTATGAAAAATGTACCAAAATCAGATGGCATAAAATTCCAGTTCAACTCTAGAAACAGAAAAATATATTCAACTTTGGAAAGATTCTCTGAAGATCATATAGGGTATCCAGTTAAGGGAGTTTTTGCAGGGTCAAGTGTTTCCAGAACAATCCCAGTCATTTTATGCAGTCTATATTTTCACTGATATCTGAGACTTTTCTAATATGGGGAAGAATGCCTTTTATTTGAGATCATTCTTGAGGATATGTTTACCATACATTTTTCCTCTTATGAAATATGGTTGTACGGACAGGAGAAAAGGAAAATACTAACTCATTTTCTGTTGAATGTGTCATCTGAAGGAGTGTGATGTATCCTGCATTCTACTGTGTGTCCCTGATCTTCTAAAGGGCAATGTTGTAAGAATACTTTGAATATGACTTTGATCGCAGACAGGCTGAAGATTATATTTTTCTTGGTTGTTTTGGGGTTTTTTTTAAGCAAAATAGCCCAGAGTTAACAAATTAACAATGGTGTTACATTCCCATGACTTTCTAATTCAATAAAGAGCTAAACTGCCCAGAATGCTGCATGTGGAAGCAGGAATTTTGCATCAGCCCAGTACGTGCTCTGCATCTTTCTTTCTTTTTCCCCTCCACCCGCCACTCTCCGTTTATAAACTACCTGAAACATTTTCCTTAGCTAGAGATGCCTTTTGGTGCTCTGTTTGAAGTAGCGTGGAATGGAGACGCCGATGATCTCTTTGTGCAGCCTAGTAAGCTTCAGTTTCACTCTTCTAGAAACCTATTTATGGAGTATTCCGTTTTTTGGGTTTTCTATTACTTTAAGGATGTTTGCTATATGATTTCAAATAAATAAACTTCCTACCAAAACTTTTGTTTTATACTTTTTAGCAGCTAAATTGAATGGTTAATATGAAACAACAACAGGCAGTCATGTAGATTGCAATGTTGCCTCATAGTCAAGTTTGGTGTCGGAGCACTTCTGTTGTTTTACAGCTCTTGCACCTAAATTCCTCAGTTTTGAGGTGTTCTTATCTAATGATGAGTACCCATTACTGTATATATTAATTTATAAACTGTTGAAGTGTTCCTGACATTCTTCTAAACTTCAAGTTTATGCACCGTTATATTGATTTTTCTGGATCTGTATGCTAATGTTTACATGATTTTGTAGGAATACGATTAAAAAATTCTGACTGAAGCAATATTGTGTGCTTTGTCTTGTAATATACTTCCCAGGACAGAGAAATTCCAGCCCATTTGAATGTACATGGCACAATAGTACAGATAGTTGTAGCAGTAAATTTAATAATTCAAGTATTTTGGCACAGAAAATACAGCTAAGTAATTCTTAACTGTACAGTATTGTAGTGGTGGCGCCCATCTGCGTAGCGATGTAAAAAGGAAGTAACTACTGTAAACTGGAAGGGTGTTAGCATGAGCGTGAGACTCCATACGTGTCTATGGCCATATGCAGACGTTTCCATGCTAATTCCCAGTTTGCTTTTGGTAAGCAAGTAAGTGTTTGGTTGTTCTTTGAACTTCATGAAGGAAATATAACTACATATAAGCAAATAAAACCCTAAAAAGATGTAAATAATGAACATGTTGCATAAATGTTTGCATGGTCTGTAAAATTGGGACTGACATCCTCCTCAATGAAAAGATTTAGAATTGTTTTTCAAAAATCTTGGTTTAAGCCAGTAAGGAACTAATTTTTGGTTTTAGCATGACAGAAAATGAGGATAGAATATAATTTCTGATTGTTCCTAAGGTTTTAGATGCAGCTGAGCTTATTAAAGTGTGCAGTGTTAATACTAAAGGATTTAGGCTGTAGTACAGCAGCGATGTAACGAAGAGGTTGACCAGCAGGCGTGCCCGCAGAAGCAGGAATTTTTTTTTCAGGAATGAGCAGCTTGGTGGTGGCCGAGCAGGGGTGCCCTGGCCGCTGCAGGCGAGCTCGCAGTTCATCCTCAAGCATGGTTTGTCATGCCTGGTTTGGGATTTAATTCTTCTCATGTAAATGGGAAAAAATGATATAATTCTCTAGAAAAGGTGTTTGACTGAGTGTTGGATAATCTGGAGATGACGGACTTCTGGTAGTGTGATGACTGGGTGGGGGAAGGGTTGATGCCCTTCATGTTGTACCTTGTAAATCCCAGGTGACGGGGAAGCAGGAGAAGGTGCTCACACACTGCTGCCGCAGTGGGGAAGCAGCTGCCACTCCCTCCTGTGCCAAGCTGTCACTGATTTAAGTGTGATCAGCAAACACCCTCAGGAACACGCTTTATTAATCCTTAAAAGCAACTGGAGCCTGTGGAGATAACTCCTTAAGGATAAAGCACAATTGCAAAGGCTGCTTCCCTGTGGCCGTTCCCATTTTTCTCTGTTGCAAACCATTGGCTCCCCACCTGTGTCAGTGCTTGGATAGAGGAGTCCCAGACAACTGAATTTCACAACTTTTGACGTTTACATTCCAAACAGTCTGCCTCCGCTCAGCCTACGCAGCTTCCTGTGACAGAAGGACGGACAGATGGATGTCAGACCTTGGGATACCAACAGCTGTTATAAACTCTGTAAGGTTCACCAAAGTATTTGCCTATTATCCAGTGTAGGGTGATGCAGTATTTGCTCTGGGTGGATGACTGGGGTTTTTTTATCCCTTCTTTTTTTAAAATCTGCAAAAAGTTTCTTTTCGCTATTTTGTGGTACATTTTTGACAAGAGTGAGAATATCCATGAAACCATGGAAACTGCAAGATGCTGCAGCTGTCTGAAGTTGTTGTTTTTTTTTTAACTAAGAATGGAGTATTTATGATCTTGTTTTGTGCTCACAGTGTTTCTTGCTCGTTTATCATTGCTTAAGTGAGTGTGACCTGGAAGCTGCATAGGAGGTATCTGTCACTGATAACTCCATTACAGCAATACCATCAATTTCTGCTTAACTGAGCTGCCAGCCGGAGTGACGTGACGTGGTTCTGGTAAGCGGCGCTTGGTACGCAGTTAAAGGGAGCGCTGGTGTGTGCCAGGTCCTCTTGGTAACGCTGCGGTACGCCCTTGGGATGTTTGTGGATATGCATACGCTGCGCTCTGCCCACCGGCGAGTTGATACATACGCTGCAGTAGCTTAAAGCAGCTGTCACAAACTACAGGGAGTGCAGATCATTAATATGTAGTTAATCAGCTGTAAATC